CGGCCCTTAAAGGAGAAAGGTTGCCTACCCCTAGAGCCTTAGAGAAATGGGTGCATGTGCTGCTGGACTCTCCTTTGGTGGCCCCCTCAGGGAATCAGTTGTGTTGTTGTTGTTGTGTGCCTTCATTTCCCACTTATGCCAACCCTAAGACTAACCCAGTGATGCCCAAACTTTGGTCTTCCAGATGTTTTTCACTACAGCTCCCAGAATTCCTGCCTGTTAGCCAAGCTGGCTGGGGATTCTGGGAGTTGGAAGTCCAGAAAAGCTGGAGGATCAAAGTTTGGGAACCACTGGATAATGGGGGTTTCTTGGCAAGGGGGTTTGCCATTGCCTTCCTCTGAGGCTGAGAGAGTGTGACTTGCCCAAGGACATCCCAGTGGGTTCCCATGGCTGAGCAGGGAATCAAACCCTGGTCTCCAGAGTCGTGGTCCAATGCTCAAACCACTAGACCACACTGGCTCTGTTGTTTTTGACTTATGGTGACTCAAAGGTGGTGAACCTATCATGGGTTTTTCTTGGCAAGGTTTGTTCATAGGGGGTTATGCCATTGCCAGTAGAGGGATGAGCAGATATCCTAACTGCAAAGGGAAACAAGACACTGCAAAATGTAGGGCATTCAAGAAAAATGTGGAGCATGACCAAATAAAAGTGAAAAACACTCATGGAAGTGTAAATCCATGCTGCTCAGTAATGCTCAAAATGGAGGATGTTTTGCGATTCCTCCTGGACGGAAGGCTGAAATAGAGGACATGTCTTGGAAAAATCTGGTCACCCTGCCCAGTGGGTTTCTATGGCCAAGCTAGGATTCGAACCTTGGTCCCCAGAGTCTTAATCTAATACTCAAGCCACTACTCCAAGCTGGCTGTCATTAATCAGGTGTAGGAGCAATTAAAGATGCGCACTAACACTTGAACTCACCTTTTGTAATGAATGCAAAGGCATCTTGTAGCACCTTTGAGACTGATGAATGGAGCCAGGAGATCTACCTCAGAAAGTAGACCAAGGGCCTTTGCAGACTGCCAGAAATAGTGCAAATTGAGTCCACTTTAACTGCCCTGACTGAGTGCTAGGGAATCATGGGAACTGTAATTTATTGTGGTACCAGAGCTCTCTGACAGAGAAGGCTCAATGTCCCAGAAAAAAATACAGTTCCCATGATTCCCTAGCACTGAGCTAGGGCAGTTAAGATGGACTCAGTTTGCACTATTTCCGGCAGTTTGCAAAGGCCCCAAGTCTACAAAAGCTTATGCTGCAACTTATTTCACTCAGGCTTCATCTGCACTGAAGAATTAATGCAGTTTGACTCTGCTTCAACTGCCATGGCTCAATGCTGTGGAATTCAGGGAATTGTAACATTATGGCACCAGAGCATTCTGACAGAAAAAGCTAAATATCTCAGAAAGCTACACATCCCAGAATTCAATAACACTGAGCCATGGCAATTAAAATGGTGTCAAACTGCATTATTTCTGCAGTGCAGATGCACCCAGAGTCTCAAAGGGTGTACAAAATACCTTGCGTATTGATATTCCAGACTACCATAGTTATGTCTCTGAAATCCTTTGTAATGTAGTACAGATGTTGTACGCCATGACAAAGTAGCTTAAGTGTTGGACTACAAATCTGGAGACCAGAGTTTGATTCCTGGCTTGGCCAAGTCACACGCTCTCAGCCTCAGGGGAAAGCAATGGCAAACTTCTCTGAACAAAACATAGCCCCCTCCCAAAAAACAAACAAACTATGATAGGGTCACCTTTGGGATGCCATAAGTCAGAAATGACTTGAAGACACACACATTGGCACCATTTAGATATCTTTAGCAGTTTCCTGTTTCTGGAGAGTTGCATAAGCCATACTTCACTTTCTAAAGTAGAAGGAAGTTACAGGATCCACAGTAGTTGAAACACTATCACACATTTTATTACATTTTGTTTTTTACAATCAGTGCCATAACCAGCTGATCCTCCCCTTACCAAACTGTATGCCAGATCATTCTGAAATGTTCTACGTGAAAATGTTGCTGGAAGACAAATGTATGAACATCACCTTATTAGTTGCCAATTTTTTGTCTCTAGCTGTTAAAATCAGAGAGAACAGATCATTAAAAGGGGATGACCAATGATAACATACTTTAGATCTAAAATTAATTCATTCTGTGTTGTAACTCACTCCATTAATCCAAATTTATGCAATTGTACTTTTTATGTTTATTTTATTCCTTATGCTGTTTTAAATTAGAGAATGTGTTATGTTGGGTCCATTGACAGTAAATAAAGATTGATAATGATGAGATTATGATGATGATGATTATGTGGGTGTTTGTTGGTGGATGAGGCTATGAGCACATATTTTTCTTGTAAGCCATTTGGCAACAGTGGGAATGTGTCAACTGATTCCTTGTTCAGCAATGTAGTGATCTGTGAGAATTGTGGAGGGGCTTCACAGGTAGTATGAAACTGTAATAATAATAATAATAATAATAATAAAATTTATTTCTATACCGCCCAATGGTTACCCAATCCGGGCGGTTTACAAGTGATGTGCGACACACAATATCAGTTCTAATATACTGGTAGTTCTTTTTTAATTCTAAACAACAAATATTGCTTTATTTATATTCTTATGTCTCTAAAATGTACATAAAAGCAAATCAATCATAGGTGAATAAATCCAACATAGTGGCTGTTTTAGTGGAACATTGTGTTAAGACAACATGACCCATTAGAAGAGGCAGTAATGCTGAGAAAAGCAGAACACAATAGGAAAAGAGGAAGACCACATTGCAGATGGATAGACGCAATCAATGAAGCCACAGCCCTGAATCTGCAAGACCTGACCAGGGCTGTTGATGACCTAAGACTCATTCATAGAGCTGCAATATGTTAATATTGACACAATGACAAA